CTCAGCCGTCATGAATGCCACATCAAGTGTTTCCGGTCATCATAACTTGGGGTGCTCCGATAGCGATTGGCCGATAATAGCTTTGGGATGTTTGATCGGCGGTCTCTATAAAGGCTGATCTCATGCTGATGATGCACCTGCCATGAGGAATTCGGCATGACATGTATCATGCATGCTGCGTATTACTGATATTAACTATATGGCTCCGCGTTATCGTCCGGGCAGAATTATTGTTCCAGCCACCAAAGACAGATTCACAAATAACCTGCCCGATTTATCTCAACTGCTCTGTGTACCAATAAGTACACATGAACTAGACGAAATAACTAGCAACATGGGCACTATCTTCTCTAATACATTAGAAGCTGTTGCCCCCATCAAATTGAAAAAGGTTAGAGAAAAACGTACTGCGCCATGGTACAACAGTAATACCCATTCTCTCAAGAAAAAAACTCGTTGGCACCATATCAATCTCTGTCTGATGCAGGTAAAATAATAATGCTGAAGGTGAGGTACAATTAATTTCTCTTTATTAAATAACTTACAAAGTAATTTGACCGCATGAGTGAATAACAGCGTGTGCTCTCTCTCTTTCCCTATCAAAATGCGCAAATGGATTCAGAACACCACATCGTGTCTGCACTAAAAGCAAGCTGCACAGTTGACACAGGAATTGTCACTTGCACAATCGAGGCAGTGTCGCATCATCACTAATTTTATAATTTGCATTTCTTTTTAAGTTTTGCCTGTGTTTAAACCATTGAGCACTTGCGCACTCTCCTAGAAATGGTGCACTCATGCACGCTCAAAGCGCACACATTCACCTCGCGCCTGTGCTGTTGTACGTGCAGAAAATTGGGCTGCATGCGGACAGTGTGCACAGACATCCGCGGACACTTCTGATGATGAAAACTGTGACACGAGGACAGTGCGTGGACCGCCGCAGAATGCGGACAGTCGATGTATACTTTGGGCTTGAGGCTGCTTCTTACACAGTTCACGAAATCAGGCTTGATGCACTGCATGATCAAACATTTAGGTGACATAATTATATATTATAATATAGTTTAGAGAGATCCCCCCCATTGGGAAATTCCCCCATTTTCAAAAATGAAATTCAGGCCCTAAATGAATGTCAATCAAAATCCTGACTGGAGTATCACTATAAAGAATTCTACATGTTAAAAAGAAGGCTTCAAAACAATCATATCGGCAGATACTGCTTCCTGTTATTGACATTGGAGCCGATCACCAATTATGTCAATGTCAATAACAAACAACCTGATCGGAGCACCCTTAATCATAACCATCACATCTGAAGCTGTCAAGGCAATTCCTGGGCATTTGAGGCTGGCTTCCAGTTTAGAGGACACACCACTTGTGTAAGTATGAGCAGCTGGCATCTCTGTGGTAGTACCAAGACTGGGGGTCTCAGAGGTGGTCCCACTGTCAGTTGAACTCCCCGTTACAGCAATGGCCATTTTGTGTGTTTGGGCCATACACTGCTCTCCAACCCATGAGTCTCCTCCAGAGCCTGCTCCAGCCCATGAGTCCATCTCAGTCCATAAGTCAGCTCCAGAGCCTGGTCTAGCCCCAGAGCTCCTTGCCTGCCTTGTCTTGACCACAGAAGTCACTCTTGAGCTTCCTGTCTGTCCTGTCTTGACCATGGTGAGTGCCCGTGAACCCTCTGCCTGTTCTGTCAAGGCTAAGGAGGCCATATCTGAATTTTCTGCATTGGCCATTATCAAACTCTCTATTACGGCCACAGAGGCTGTTGTTAACCTCTCTGTGCTCTCTATTACAGTTCTGTCATATCCAAAGTGGTGGTCATCTTCTCAGCCTGAGCTGTCTTGGTGGTCACCTGTATTATCAGCTCTGCTGAAGTGGTCTTCAGCTCTATCAACTCAACCCTGGTGGCATTTGGCTCCACCCTGGGGGTCTTTGGTCCCTTCTGCTCCGCTGTAGTGGTCATAGTTGTCATAGTGACTCATTAGCTCCTCCCTGTTTGTTACCTCTTTTTCCTGAGTATATATATATATATATATATATATATATATACACAAACCCAATTCCAAAAAAATTGGGACACTGTACAACCAATACTCTCCACTCTCCTAGATGACAGCCCTAGAAAACAGGATCATTTAGTCAGTGAATGAAAGAGCGAACCGCCATCTTCATATACAA